AGAAAAACCACAGGCAAGTTACTGCCCTCGGGCTAAGTGTCTGAGCCCAGTTTTGCCTATTTTCGTCCTCCATTCAAGGTTACCTCTCCACAGCAGTACAAGTGGAATACGTTACACGCCTTCAGATTCCAATCCAGCTGACCTCTGTGGGTGCTTTTGGAATTTCCCGGCTTAGCCGGGGCAGTCACCGTCATCTTTTATTCTAATGTTAACCTTGGGAAAAACTACAAAGGCGTAAAATGGAAGCAGTGTCGTTTCGCAGACTCCGTACAGAAAAATGTTCTGAAGTATGATGCTTGTCGTTTGCACGCAATAGCGCAGCTAACTAGTTCGCCAACCTCTGTCTACCATTCCTTCTCGTCAAACTAGGTAGATGGAAGTAGTTAATCGATATATGCATGACCTAGTCAGAACAGCTTGTCTGTTTACATACATATCAAGCTCTTCGCCTTATACTAAGGTGCTGCCTAATGTAAGTTTCAACGAATTAAAGTGAGAGCCCGATTGCTAATAGCAAGGTTTACGAATGTGACGGGTTGACCGTGTAGCCTAGTGTGCATACAGCGCATGCTGTCCCGAACCAGGCAACCTTGAACAAGGTAATAGTTATTTTTTTTTCTCATTGATGCCCAAGACCAATCATACGACGAACATTTGTGCAATTAGTTTGCTTGGAGAGAGTCCAGCTCGTCAAGTGCTTCTGTAGAAAATGAGCTTTCCAACGACAGAATCCAAATTTTATTCCGCGTTGTGCGTATAGATTACCAGGCGTTGCCTAAGAAAAGGACATGTGCTGCGTTTGGCTGAGTGTCTCTGCAGCTTGTAGAAGAGCTGACATCACAGGTGTTACTGCAAGGTTTTTTTTTTTTCAATGAATGCACCGGTATGTTATTCCAGTGTTCAGGCTTGTTACATCGCCTTTATTACAATTTTCTCATATGCTTGAAAAATGAGCGCGAAATCGATTGAAAGCACAGTAGAATACAGGATAATAAAGAGAACAGGGTAACGATAAACAATTATTTTCATGTAAAGTTTGAGAGATTACTGACATACCAGATGTCGCAATGAACCGGGCTTGTTTCAGTTATTCTAGCGCAGAAATGTCGTTCTAGATAGCCGAGTGATGTTCTTGTGAGCCAAGCATGTCAGATACGCATTATCATTCTTTTTTTTTTCTTAGTGCATGTCCCATGCTATACACGCAAAAATCACACGCGATGCCACCAGTGTACTACAACGTCACTTCCTTCAAGTCTTTTTTGAACTCTCCCAACAACGAGTACAGAAACAACATCACGCATAGGGATGAACCTAGTGATTATCAACGCTATTAGGCTGTGCATCATTTGCATGTATTCATGCCCGTATAAAGTCTTTACCCTCTTGTCACCACAGTTTTCGAAGCTCTTTTTCCCGCATTGCGTGGACACCCGGCGGCACATTAAACGAAGGCGAACAGGGATCACTGATCGAGAAATCCACCGCTAATTTCTTTCTTATCGGGTCTTTACTAAATCAGGAGGAGCAATATCTGCACAAGTCTGCAGAAATCTACGGAAGCCGGAAAGTAATGGCGAAATATCTAGCGGCGAGGAAATGAAATCTCACCGTGAGACCGCTCCGGCGCAGACAGGGGACACGAGATAATTGTAAAAGAAGAAAACGAAATGCAGCATTTGTGTATAGGAAGCGATGCATTATATAGCATCGCTTCGGGGACTGACAGCCAAAAACGGCGAATACGCCTGGAATAAAGTGAAGACGGAGAGAGAACGAACCGGCGGCATTCGGTCGGCCCCTTGTCGCCCATCTGGCGCGGTGGCAATCAGTGCTCGCGCAGTCGGACAGCGTTGCGATGCCGTCGGCTGCCCCACCCTTGCATTTAGCCCCTCGCGTCGTCGTCGACGCGGGATATAGGCCGTACAGCCGCAGAAGCCGAGATACGGGTCGCGTGGCCAAGCGCGCTCATGCCTTCGCGTACGTAGACGTATAGCTCCGAGGCACGGCTTCGCACGGGAGCACTGCTACACTGCGCTTATAGCGCGGTGGGAACGGCCCTGTCGAGCCTCAAAGGGGCACTGCTAGAAACCGACTGTGTGTTTGTTGCTTCGGGCCGAGGAGATACGTGAAACACGGACGCGCGCTTTCGGCAACGCTTGCAGGGGCGTGTACGGCAGAGCCAACACAGATGACTATGGCGATGTGGCGCACGTGTGTGGTTTGCTGCAGTAGTAGCATTCGTGGCAGTGGTAGTGAGACAAACCGCCTCGCGGACGCACTTCGTATTAAATCGCTGTCTTGCGTTACTACAAATCGCTCCTCGCCCTAGAGCAACGCGAGTTCCTCGAAGTTGCCATACTGAGAACTGTGTCGCATTCGTCGTCATGACCGCGGAGTTGCGGTCGCATGTATGCCTACATGTCAGTGAGAGCGCAGTTATAAGAGAGCCGGATTCGAACTAGACGCGGATATAGCGATAATGAACAACGTCCCCTTGGTCGCCTGGCGGGGAAGTTAGGTTTAGGGTTGTTCTTGCGAGGATTCAATAGACCAGACAAAAACGAAATAAAAGGCGCAATGCCAAATTGAGCGTTTAGATTATACGCAAGGCGTCAGTAATGGATGCTAAAAACGTATTTGTATACGGGCGGATGATTTTCATAGGTGTCGCTGTCATGTTAGGCTTGTGTCGCTTCGGTGATGAATCGAAATAAAAAGACGTCATTACCAAACCAATGTGTAAAAGGACGCCTTATACTCTCTTTTATGCACCTCCCGCCTCGTGAATGACCCATCACGTTGAGGTTTGCTAGTTAGTTTGAAGGACTTGAAGGTCACTTCCTTCAAGTTTAACCCTAAAACGACTAGCGCCCAAAGTGATCGGCATGTAAGTAACAGAAAAATATAGAAGAGCAGAAGTATAAGCTAATCTCTAACTGGCTTTCAGGCTGCATATTTGTGCAGTTCACGTTGCCGGACACTTCAGGAAGCTTTTCTTTGACCAAAGAGCTCAAGCCCCGCCGCGGTGGTCTAGTGGCTAAGGTACTCGGCTGCTGACCCGCAAGTCGCGAATTCAAATCCCGGCTGCGGTGGCTGCATTTCCGATGGAGGCGGAAATGTTGTAGGCCCGTGTGCTCAGATTTGGGTGCACGTTAAAGAACCCCAGGTGGTCGAAATTTCCGGAGCCCTCCACTACGGCGTCTCTCATAATCAAATGGTGGTTTTGGGACGTTAAACCCCACAAATCAATCAACCAAAGAGCTCAATCGAAACGATGTGGGTGATCGGCGAAACATATCGTAAGCCTCTTCGGAAACGACCCTAACGACACGTCAAGCGGCAGGCGTAAAAACGCTCCCAACTCCCGTAACAACCCCCACGAATTTGTCTTGATAGCATACCGTATATATGGCCACAGAAACAGACTTGGAGAAAAACAGTGAGACTGAGAAAAAGAAATAACAAACACGAGGCGAGATTGAGCGTCGTATAACACCAGAAATACTGGGCCACTTTTACTGCAATCCTGGCGACGCTGCTGGACTGGCCGCCCATGCGAACGCCGTAAATGTCAGCGACGGGCCGGACTCCAGGCTGCCGCTGAGGCATTGGGAACGAACGTGCTTTCGCGGGACTTTCTCTTGCCCCGGCGACAGCATCGGGAGGGTGTTCGGTTCCGATAGACTACGCGCCCAATTTTCACTCTCTCTTTTCTTCGTCGTCTTTACACTTTTTTCGTTAGCTCTCCTTCGCAATCGTAAACCCGGGTAAAACGTCAGGTGAACTACCTTGCCGTGGATCTCCTCCGAAGGTCGGTGTCTATAGCCTCGAATGACCACCGCAGTTTCGTTCGCAGGGAGCTTATACTTCGTCGGATAGGCAACTTTCGCCCGCATTTCTCGAAAATCGCTGTACGGCTGCTGATGCGTGAAAACATGGTGCTTTGGAAATCACTTGAATAGGCAAGTATACGCGCATTTCTCGTTCTTTCCTTCCTTCCGTCTTCCTTCTTTCTTTCTTTCTTTCTTTCTTTCTTTCTTTCTTTCTTTCTTTCTTTCTTTCTTTCTTTCTTTCTTCTGTCTTTTTCTCTTTCCTTCTTTCTCTCTTTTCTTTTTTCAGTAGCTGAGATCCTACGGGCAGGTGGCTGAACTTCTATATACACACACGCACGGGGCTCACGTGTGTATATAGATTTAATAAACTGATGGTCGCAACAAAGAATATGTTTATATATCACAGTCTACAAGCTTATGCAAGCAAAACTCACTTTGTGCCTTCCTTTTAGTTCTCGTTCTTTCATATGACTTGAAAAGAGCCGACGTAAAAATAGAACTGACATCTAAAGACGTGGTTTTGGGGGCCTTCGTGGCGAACTTTCCACCGACTACAAATATTAAAGAGCAAGACGCTGACTAAATATGTCCTCTTTTTTTTTCTTACTTTTTATCTACTTATGTGATTCACCGGAGTTGGCTTTACGAATGTGTCGAAATCTGAATTTGAAACTACGATAGAGCGCTAGAAATGCACCAAAACCAATTTTTTTGTGTTAATGTTGTTAAAAAAAGAACAAGAGTGTATTACAGCTTTCAGGAGTGAGCATTACCAGGAATGATATATTTCTTGGAATCGAAGCTAAGAAGTTAACAAAAATGAACCCAACTATTTTTGAGCCTCTATATTGTGATACTAGCTTAGTTTTAGTATCTGATTAAAACATTAACCATTAATCATATTGTTCGTGCGTTTGTGCTATGAAAAGTATATATTATTCCCACAGACGCCCTGGTTTTATAATTATTTCTGAATTTTCGCTAAAGGTACTAGAATGAGAAATAAATATAGATAAGCGGTCGCGGAAATCAGCAAGACCTCCTGCGGCACATCAAGTGTATATAACTGCATCTGAAACGCGACAGAAGCTTGTTATGATGCAGCCCCATTCGTGCAGGTGTATGAAGACACGCGATAATAATTGTGGGAGCATCGCTTCATACCTTCGTGGGTTTTAAGGTGAGCTCGCAGGTTGCAGGCCAAGGCGAACCTCTTTTGGCAGTACTCGCATATGTGCGGCTTATCACCTGCGACAAGTGAAAGGAGGGGAAAGAGAGATAGGAGGAAAACCAAAATGTTTAGTAAGGGAAGTGCAAGCAATCTGCCATGCTTTTTGCGCATTTGCTTCTTGTTGGCTCTCCAGTGTTATAAAATCGAAATTTCGTCAGATTCTATGAAAACATTTTAGGATAATCCACACTAACATCTTGGTCATGTGATGTATTTTAGTTGTTGAAATTATTTCACGTTCTTTTGTTGAACTAGCTTTCTCAAACCGATACACCTGCGTTCAAAATTTTACTATAGTGTCCTCTTATAAGAGATGCTCGTTTTCATTGACGTGCATGTATATTATAATATTGCCAAAAACAGAAACACTACGACTATAATTTAGGGACACATATTACTAGCTGATATAACCGGTGTCATTAACGTCATCACATACTTCATCAGTGAGTGAGACACCCGCCTTTCCTAGAAACAACTAAATGCTCGTCAGTTCATTGAGTGTCGGACCACTGCGCGATAGAGCTTCGGCGACCGTAGAAAGTCAGAACGGCAGCGTTCTGCGCGCGTCCGCAACAACCAATGCAACGCGTGTGCATAATCACTCCTTCCACGTAGTGCAAAGGTGCTCAGTAGACCTAACATTCTAGGAAACTACAAAATAAAACAAAGAAATAAAAGATCAACCAAACGCGCACTCCCATTTTGTTTTTACTTCAAGTTTACCGCTCACAGCCCTGCTCTGCCACGCATCCCCCAAGTCACCTCTTCCCCGCAACCACCTCACGTACGAAGAGCAAGCATCTTCCGCGCTGACAGGCGCAGCCTCGATTCGCCCCAACGCAAAGCGAGCGCGTGTTTGCAGCGCGGGTCTTCCTGTGCCAGCGAATGACGATTCCAGCGCGTGCTGCGTGGGAGGAACGAGAGGCCAAGCGACGACGACCCTGCATGTCGACGGCACGCGCTCATCTTTCGGGTAGCGCCCGGACACACACGCAAATAAGCGGAGATAAAAACAAAGGGGAAGTGAATTGCAGGCGGCGACAGTGGCGAGTCGGTTTCGCGGCCTCGCATCGAGGAGGGGTGAAACGTGGCGAGCAACGCACGTACACATACAAATCAACATACAAACGCTGCCTTCGACTGAAGCAGCCCAGGCGAACGACTCCGTCTCTCTTATATCTACACGCCTAAAGAGCCACGCGCTGCAGACGCCCCCGTGCGTTGCACGGTGGAACGCCGTGAGTGACGAGTGTGCCGTGCCCGCCGGCGTATTCCTCAGAAACAAAAGGCGCGCTCGCCGCAACAGATGGGCGATTTAACCCGTGACGAGTGCTCCGCAGCGTACGTGCATGCATGCTACGGCGAATGTTCGCTACGCTTCCGGGGCAGGGAGCCGGCGCGCGCCCTACCTGGCACGTGCGTGTCGTCAAGGCAACGAGTGCAGTGTCCTAGAAGACGCGCCTATTCTCGCGAGTTGTTATCGATGGTACTTGACGGTGAAGAGGATGCTCATCGTCCCGTGGTTAGTCGTCAACGGGAGGTCTGAATCTTTCAGCAGTTCCTTCCTGGTGGAAATGAAATTCTACGAAATGGATCCTAATTGTACCTTAAACGATGCTTCTTGCTGCAAACCCTAATGCACATTTCTACACGAGAGTGTGTAAACCGTGCTTGTACATGTGCCGTGTTAAGACGAGCACTTTTGAACACACCGAATGCGCGACTGTACAAGTGTACACATGTATAAAGTGAACTCTCACTTGAGTCAACCTAATGGGACCTAAGGATACAGATCACCCAAATGAAAGTTGATTAAACTGATTATTCACTGGAATACGGAACAACATCTTACGCTTCTAAAATAAAGTCAAACATGTGAAATGCAACCTATTTTGAAAAGCATTCTGTGATATTATTTTGAACAGTGCCGCCCTTTAAGCGCAATATGAGACAAAGCTGCCCAGACAGTCAACGTTTCCGTACACTGGCACGGCTTGTTGCTGTGACACACTGTCGCAACTATCTAATATATTCTACAGCCTCGACAAGAGATAACATAATTTGAAGCTGCCTCAGCCAATACCACTTAGTCACACTCTTGTTAGGCGAGCGCTGGATACAATTTCTAAATCTGATAGCTCGGCATAGGTAATGAAGCGCAAAGGCCTCGCTTTCGTCTCCCGCACGGTCGCTTTGCCGCGGTGCCACTGCATGTTCCGATTAGTATGTTGTACCGTAGCCGATGTATAGGCGATTAAGGGACGGCACACATCGGCTACACAAGGGCTGCAGAGAGCAAAACTTCACTGACTTTATATCCAAAATGAGCCCGGGTCACTGCAGATCAAGTTCATTCAACTCAAATATTCCTTATTGAGAAGTTCGTTTGAACGATTATGTTTGCATAGAATGCATCGGAAAACAAGCAGAGATTTTCTAAAGTTCGTTATTCTGAATTATTCGTTGAAAGAACGTTCCTACAACTGAGAGTTTATAGACAGAGGAATTTTTATTCGAACAACCAAGCGAAAACAAATAGCCATCGTTCAGAGCTTGCGACAACTTGCGAGTAGTATAAACGGGACTTGCTCTTTTCGCAGAGCTTTGCGATATTTTGTGTGACTTAAAATGTCTCCTTTTGTTTTCGACTGTCTCAGCCTTCTTCTCAAAGAAAAGTGTAAATCTTGGCTTTCCGTGATTAATAGTTACGACCTTTGATAAGGCGCATCAGCCATCAAACTTAAACCAGCCATCAAAATTAAACACACCTAGGCTTCCATACGGGAGCCTTGTGGAAGATTGTGAACAAGGCCCTGATATAGGAAAGCTGACGAAAGCTTGATATTCCTAAACTTATATGCACAGGCTGGGTCAGATTGCCGCGTGACTGGGCTAAGTTACAATTGCAACAGTGTTTTTGCTGGGACGGTATACTATTCCATAGTAGAGTACCATACGCTATATAAGTTACACTTTTTCTAAACGCACCTTTTCCTGTTGTCACATATGCGGGAAAACTATGATTTAATCTTGAAGCTGCATGTGAGCCGAAACTGAGGCGGCGCCACATGCGTTCGTCCACACGCTGAAGTATACGTGTCGCAGCAGTTTCAAATAGGTGTGTCTATTTTTCCATGTGCGACCAGTAACCTATTATGGTACCCCGCCACGTGGCTAAGGTGCCCGTGGCTGCTAGCCCACAAGTCGCGGGATCGAATCCAGGCTACGGCGGTTGTATTTTCAATGGAGGCAAAAGTGCTGTAGGCCCCTGTGCTAAGATTTGGGTGCACGGTAAAGAAACCCAAGTGGTTGAAATTTCCGGAGCCCTCCACTACGGCATCTCCCATAATCATATAGTGGTTCTGGGACGTTAAACACCACATATCAATCAATCCACCTGTTACGGTGTGTTGTAGTGCAAGCAAGACACGTGATATATGCGTCTACATGTATGTCAGCTTGTCGTTCGTCCGATGCATTCGTTATCTGACGTGGCTATGGTCACCTGAAATGTGGCTACTAGTTCCCAATAAAATACCCCGCCGCGGTGGTCTAGTGGCTAAGGTACTCGGCTGCTGACCTGCAGGTCGCGGGTTCAAATCCCGGCTGCGGTGGCTGCATTTCCGATGGAGGCGGAAATGTTGTAGGCCCGTGTGCTCAGATTTGGGTGCACGTTGAAGAACCCCAGGTGGTCGAAATTTCCGGAGCTCTCCACTACGGTGTCTCTCGTAATCATATAGTGGTTTTGGGACGTTAAACCCCACATATCTATCTATCTAGTTCCCAATAAAAGTCTCTGTGTTGTAACTCTCATGCATCTCCCGGTTAACGGGTTTCCGTACAACTCTTGACTCCCGCGATAAGTGTTGCTGTTGCACATACAGTGAGTATCAATGCACGCCATTTGTATCGCGGGAAACAATCGGCAAGCTTTACTAAGTAGTTTGTTAGAATGCCCAGCAGGCCATGGCGACGTGCTGCATTCACCATAGACCCACTATCCTTGTAGATCTAGGCACAATCGCTTAAAAATAAATAATTTTCTCTGATAAGAGACTGCAAATAGTTTACCGGCATTCTAGGCTTTGTTTCATCACTACCACCTTAATGCTCGTCATCAACATCTGTATCTTGTATTTTCTCCCCGCCTTACCCTTTCCTAACGCTGATTAGATGTTCAGAAACGTGATTCTGGCCGACCTCCCAGATTTTATGTCGCAACAAATCTCTATCTCATTCTCCCTTAATCCCAGCCTCACCTGGAGATGTCATACATCCGCTATTTCTTGCGCATTAACTTTCAACAGAATGTCTTCGTAAAGCCTCCTTCAAACGGAGAAACATTACTCTTACGTGACTGAAACCAGACGGTGGACCGTGTTGGCCTTCTCGATTACCATGATGCACCGGAAGAACATGCAGCACAAACAGCGCTATGTAGTAGCCCGCAAGCAACGAAACATCTTTCCGTCACCATGTGCTGGCACCGACTGCCTCCGGTGCCTAAGAGGCACACGTGCGCAAGCCATACGCTGACCAGCGCTTATACGCGTGCCTAACAGCCAGTGGAGCGAAACGACGCCATACTGCTCAGTGCGTTCCGACAGAGCGCGTCCGAGGACAGCGCGAACAACAAACCTGCTCTCATATATATATATATATATATATATATATATATATATATATATATATATATATATCGCAAGTTGCCAGTAGCATGTGCACGCAGTAGCAGCATAGCGAGCTGCAACGGTCGGAGCACGCGAGCGCCTCATTTATAGTAATCGGAGGGAAGCGCCGAGAGGTGAGCCGAAGGAGAAGGCGAAAAAATTGCCTCGCTGCGCAGCGTGCATCGACGGCGAGAAGATGCGCGAGATGGCAGCGCGGGGAAGAGGAGGCGACAGCCAGGAGCCACCCGTATTACACGCGCAAACACGCGCACACGCAGCCACGTCCAGCAGCTGAAGGTGGCTACAGGGCCGTGGCGACGCCGCTGGTGGAAATTTCGGCGGCGGCC